CCCCTCCTTTTTTCTTTTTTCTTTTTTTCCTCTTTTCCTTTTAATCTTTTTTCCTTTTTTCTTTCTTTTTCTCTCTTTTTATCTTTTTCTTTTTCCTTCTTTTCCTTCTTTTCCTTCTTTTCCTTCTTTCCCCCCCTTTTTCCCCTCCCCCTTTTCTCCCCCCTTTTCTTTTCTTTCTCCTTTTGACTTTTCTCCTTTTCTTTCTCCTTTTTCCTTTTCTCTTTTTCTTTCTCTTTTCTTTTTCCTTATTTTCCTTTTTTCAATTTTAAAGTGGAAGTGTTGAAAAGGGGATGGCTCTGCGTGGGGTACCCGGAGCTTTGAACCACTGCGGAAATCAGTGGGATTTGGGTGACGGGCATCCCGCAGAGTCAAGTTCCCATGACTTTTGCCTTCTTAGGGAGGAGACTGGGGTGAGCAAGAAGTTGTTTTGGTTTTTTTTTTTTATTTAATACTTGATGTGAAATGAATTCCTGGAGCCTTTCTCATATTTTCTAGTGGTTCAGCTGATGTCAAACTATGCATGTAGGCTCAAGTTGTTTGCAGGCATTGCTGCAGAAATCCCTCCCGCGCATACAGCGGGGCGCAGGGCTTCGGGAGGACGACCGGAGCGGATGCGGGAGGATCTGCCTCGCGGGGCTGAAATGACTGGACTGTCCTTACCCTATATACCCTTAGCACAAGCTCTAGGGATGGTATTTCAAGCATATACTGTAGGTGAGAAAGAATATAAAAAGTTTTCCGTGTCTGATTTTAAATAAGTTCTCACTGAAGGGGTGACTTTCAGTACATTGGTGGTTTTTTTGTTTGGGTGTTTTGGTTTTTGGGGTTTTTTTAAGCTGTAGGTGCTCTGATATTTCTGGCAAATAAGACCACTTCAGAAATGTGCTAGGAAAAATGCTGACTAGGGTATTTTGTAGGAGCCCAGCAAAAGTTAAGTTACAAAAGTCTACACTTACCTTCCCCAATAGGGATGTTTTTTCTCTGAGGTGGAGCGCGCTAGAAACCCTCACTGATTTCTCTGCAAACAGGACTTAGCTTTTTTTGGGAGAGTGCTAATGGGCGTCTGGGGAGGAGGGAGGAGAAGTTTTGGAGCCTGAGGCTCTTAAATACGAACTATTCATTTTGCTGTTAACTCGCTTTTCCCTGTCTGGAGGCTTAGGCTCTTTTATGTCTGTAAGAGAAGAGGAAAAAAAAGATAGCTGAAGACAAAACATCCAGTTGCCTGGTTTAGCATGCTGAAAGCACACCTGCTGCGAGAACGTGGTAGGAGAAAAGACTATCTGCTTTCTTGACTGTGTGTACGAGCAGAGGAGAGCTTAGCACCGCGCTCTGGAACGAGTTGTAGTTGAGCACAGACGTAGTTTCTACGAGAGCGTGGCTGGAGATGGATGCTTAACTGATGGTGGAGTTGTCAATCGCACCACTGGGAAATTCTACCCGAAGGCAGGCATGAGGTCCTTGCTTCGTGCCCAGGTTTGATTATTCTCCTTTTCCCCATCTCCTGCTGTACCGATAAAGAATGTTATTTTCTACCATTGTAAAAATTACTGGGATTTGTAAGCTTAGTGGCCCAGCTTTTCCATAGCGCTGCCCAAATCCGGATCTCTAAGTAGCAAATTAATGTGAACTTTTAAGCTTTTCTGTGTGTGAATGTTAACTCCAACATGAAACCCAGTTACATGAATAGCAATGCACTGTCACGGACAGTGCTTTACGTCATGTTTTGGTAAACAAGATTCCTCCAGTCCACCACTCCTTTTATGTTTTTGATTGGTATAAATATGGGCTGAAGTCTTTGGCTTCAGAAAGCCAGGCTGCCCACGCGTCTGTCTTAAAAAGCTTCTGGAGAGGAACCCAAATGAGGCTTTTTTTGGGTGGCTGCGTTATGAAGTCCTTTCTGACATGACTGTCATCAGTTGCTATTAAAAACACCTCTGTCCAAATAAATAAAGAAGGATTTGATTGTGACCCTCCTTCTCGTTGGTGCTGGTATTCTTATGAGGCCTCAAGGCAGGGAGAAGAGGAGGATCCCACAGTTGAGGAGAGAGCTGGTCTGTCAGAAAACATCACCAATAGCTGCCAGGCAGTACTTTTCATGTTTAGAAGAGCTCTGAAATCTTATGTTGTGTGTTAGTCTCCAGGAAGGTACTAGTGCTTGTGTACTGGGCACTGAAGCATGAGGGGAATTTAACTGTGGATTTAAAAACTGACTCCGAACCAAAAAACCACCCAGAGAGTGTATCATGTTGTACAGTGAATATGCTAAATACAGTATGTCCATTAGCTTTCCTCCTTTTTATTATTCACTGCTGAGATTAGTGGCAAGAGTTTTTGAAGTGTACTTTTGTGGTGTGGATGCTCTGTGGCATTTCATCCATCAGCTTCCCTTGGACACTGCAAACACTAGCAGAGGAACAAGTTTAAATTTGTTTCTGATTATGACCAGTTTAAAATTTTTACGTGATCCATGTGCCAAAGTGTTCAGGCCTTTTTTTTTTTTTTTTTTTTTTCCCCCTCCATCCAGGGGGCTGCTTAATTCTAAAAAAAAAAAAAAAGGCTGTTGATTTTACAGAAGTGGAACAGTGGCTTGATGGCATATTGTAAATCTCTGCCTTTGCTCAGGGAGGGAGAGGGAGAGGGAGGCGTTTGGGATGTTAAACTCCTTGCCAGAGCCCACTGTAGCGTGCCGTGACCAGACTACTTTTGTGGGATGTTTGTGTGTTCCTTATAAGAACATGTTTCCTAAACATAGTTAAAAATTGCTTCAGTAGATGCAGAAACATTCCATTAACTTAGTGACCTGCAGAAGTACTGTAAATAAAAATAGATGTATTTTCCTGTCTCTTCTAGGCCAGAGCACTATGCTGAAGGCTTGTTGGCTTTTTTTTTTTTTTTAAATTAGAAAAAAACCCCAACCTTCAGTACAGTAAAATGTTAGCTAGTGTCAATAAATGGTTTACACGAGACTCTTCTGCAACTGCCCGTTAGCTCTCCGAAATGTGCTTATGGAGCGTAAGTTCTGTAGTCACTGTGGTGATGCGGAAGAGGAGTGTGACTCGGAGGGGAGAAAGCAGGGCTGGGCGAGTGAACTGGACGGGAGCGGGAACCGAAGCACCTCCCAGGGCTGCGCTGGCGCTGCTCCCCGCAGCTTGACAGCCCAGCAACCTCCGCCTCTTCCCCATCCATCTGCTAACTGGGGGGGTTCGTCTGTCGGAAGGCGAAAGGTCCTGGGGAGGGGTGGTGTGTTCTATACATGGGAGAAACGTGCATAGGCATGGTGAAGTGAAGTAAAAATGATTTGTCTGTCGTGTCTAACCAGATAGTAGGAAGAAAGAAAACAAGTGATGTGTCTTAGTTGGCACTGTGATACCCAGGAAGGAAGAGAGTAAAAACCAGAGTAGTTAACGTTGATTTGATCATGCTTTTTTTTTATTATTTCTTCTAGAAAAAGAGAGCTTTCTTCTGTTTAAGTTGCTCAGTATAGCAGAGAGAACCATTTTGTGATTCTTCGGGTTTAATCCTGTTTTCATTTGAGTTAGTAAAAATGCTTCTACTGCCTTTGATAACAAGTTGTGTCCTCTTGAGGTTTTTTCCTGAGCATTCCCTGTAGCATGGGTACACATGGTCCTGCCTTCTCTGTTACCAACCTGGAGTCCAAAGGTGCACAGAAGCATGTGCTACCAGACATACACTACTTAGGCCTGGCACAGTGTTTCCATTTCTGAGGTAGGAAATTCCACCCCACGAACAGGAAAAATGCCCCATCTGAGTGGGGGACTCTTTTCTGAGCCTCTTCTGGAGGAACCAGGCGAGAAGTTAGAACTGGTGGACCCAAGGAAGATGCTTAGACTTGCGTTGAGTACTGCTGTTTGCCGTTCTTGTGGTTAGACCCGATGTCATACCAGAGATAAGCTCCTTTTTTGTCACTTTTATTACATTTTTTAAAAAACATCAAGTTATAAGTGTACCTCTTCCTGGCTCTTTCTTATATACCAGAATTAGCCAGAGTTGGTGGTGTCATGCAAGGTGTGACTGCATCTCCTTGAAACGAAATAGTTACATGTAGCTGTGGGTTGGGATTTTTTTTTTTTTTTAACGTTAGGAAGTGCTTGTTGCAAGCCTGTGACC